AGTGGCACACTTTATAAACAGCTAAGATCACGAAAGGGCGATCGTAGATGGCATTTTCCCCATATTTCATATTCATCTAAACGAATTCTCCAATCTCTAGTCCAAGAATACTAAGTATTCATTCTTAAATAAGTTGTTAAGACATTTGACTGACAGTCAAAGAATGTCGCAGTTTAACTTCTTAATGTAGTGATTGCAGTCAAAGTTCTTTATAGCCTTTTCGTTTTAATACAGTGCCTTTTCTGTTTCATCTCTGGAAACCCACTTTAATTCTACAAACTAAGTCGTTTCTTATTGAGTTTTAAAAACCCTTCCCAATTCTACTAGTGAAGGAGAAAATCCAGAGAGAATTCTCTTTATGGCGTAAATTTCAGTTCTGGAAAAGCAGTTCAGTAAGCCCCTGTTATAATTCTGTTCTAAAAAGTTCTACCAAAGTTCGGTAAAACCCAATGAATCTGTCATCTGGTTTCTTGTGTATTACAGCTGACTTAGCAGCCATAGCCATCGAAAAAGATCAAGACAAGGTAGGTCTAGCATTTTTCCACTTTCTACATGTAAACATTTCATTCTTATTGAGTCCCAATTCTTCTAGTGCAGGAGACAATATAGAGAGAATTCCCTTTATGGCGTAAACTTAGTTTTGTAAGCCCCAGTAAACAGTTCGTTATGGATAGGTATATCATAGTTCGATAAAACCAAATATATCTGTCAAGATTTAATTGTCAACTGGTTTCTTGAGGTTAAGGTCTAGCATTTTCCCATATTCTACATGTAAACTTCATATGAATTATGATCACTATGGTTTTGCTAAGAAAGAAATGGAACAACTTTCTTAATTACAAGCATCAAGTATCTCTTGAGACTATAAGGTTCACATTTGAGAAATGCCAAAGTCATCAGTCGGAAAAAATCATTGTCCGATACTAGTGGATTTCCTAACAAGATTTCTAGACTTGTTTGACGAATATAAACTTGCATTAGGTACTAAGTAGAAAACTGTCCAGAAAACTTAACATAGTTTTATGATATAAGAGCGTTAAGTTTTTAATAAACTTTAGCAATTATTTTTTTAAGTGTCATTCATTTGCTTCTTTCTCACTCTATTTATTTATACTGTTTGCAATCTTTAGTAAGTCTACATGTGAATACTCACATGTTCTCTCTTCCCATCATTCACACTAATCAATTAAACTAATAATCTTTTTATGAAATCCAATAACACAAAACACACTAACCACACTTTATAAAATTGAATAACTACAATTGTTTGTATTTTATCATTATAATTATTAATATTTTACTGTTTTTATGAATTGTTTTAAATATCTAATGTTTTAGACTTTGCTCGTCGTCATTGTCTATCTCTAGTTTTTTGTAGTCTGTGTTTAATTTTAAAGTCTTATTGTTGTTGTTATGTGACTATTTTGTCGTTTTTTTTCTTTAATGTTATTGTTATTTCTGTCCAAGTTTTAGAAAATATGTAGAATAAAGAAAAAATGTGTAAAAAATTGTTCTGGTTTCCATTTCTTATTATGTACCAAATAAATACTTTTGTGTTTACATATATGTATATGTACATACATACATACACATGTTTTTCTTATATTTTGTTTCCAATTCGTAATAGTTGTAGTTGGGTTTGATAAATGTTTGAGGTCTTTGTTTGTTCTGTTTGTTTGCAAGTAGCCGATTTGTTTCCCTTTTTCTATAAACGAAATTTTTGAAAAGAAAAAAATCTGTAAAATTACTCTTTATTCTTTTATATTATTATCTAGTTGCTGCCATTTGTAGGACAAAGTTCTTTTGTCTGCATTTTTTTAAATACAAAAAAAGCAGATTCTTTAAAAAAAATGTCATCTGTCAAAATAATCGATCAAGGTTTTATAAATAGCATCCCTTGTTATATATTCTTGGCAATGCAAATGATAAATTAAAAGAGTTTTATTTAAACAAATGTCAAAATGCTTGAATGCCCGGTAAATTTCCCGAGAATCTCCGCCAAATTTCACGATAACTCCCGGAAAAATGTTCATTAGTAACTTCTTCTTTTACTGTTGACAATTTGTTATCTTGGGTCCTCACACTGATACGGATCATTCATTCATCTCTCCATACAGGACGGCTATTTGTTCATGTCTGATAGAGAATCGATCCAATTCAAGTGAACACATCTAATCCGATAACTTTTTAGTCTTTTGATATATTTTTTAAATATCACTCTCCTTTCATCTCCAGCCCACGGCTTACGACTATAGCTAATTGCTCGACCAGGAGGTCGGCGGGATTGAAAATAGGCTCTAACCTTAAGTGCCTGCAATCAAGTCAGGTTTCATGACAGTTTCTGATCCAGAAGAATACCTTGATACTTTGCACTGTCACCAAGTCTGAGATCCACTTCATATAGATAAGGTTTCGAATTTCTAGACTACGCACAGTCACAAGGTCACAATTTATATAGATGTGATTGTGAATCTCTAGACAGCGCACTGACATGAAGTCTGAAATCCACTTCATATAGATGTGGTTTCGAATAGTTTTTGTCTTTCGCATAAGCATTCGCATCTTCTTACAAAATGCCTCGATTCATCAGTGGCCTTTTCCATAGCAGATATAATGATTCTAGTAATTACAATTAGCACTAGCTCCTCTAATAATGAAGGCGTTTTAAGCGCCAGAAAGTCAATGTTGACAAAATTCCTTTTTGACAAGTGCCTGAATTATAGATTCACTTCTTACGAAGTGCCTCGTTTCACCAGTGGCATTTTCCATGGCATATATAATGGTTCTATGCTAAGCAGTAAATGAAGGATAAATCCACCCGAAATTTTCTTAAATATCCATCCGATTAGCGTTAAGATACCTTCTTATCTATTGCATGGATCATAGATTTAAGAAGCCATTGGTAAGACAGCATATGAGGTGACACACGGAATATTTCGATTTTCCATTGGTATTATGATAGCATTAATGATTAACTGGTTAACCACTATCCACTCCACTACCATTAAATTCCACCCGACTTTTCACTACCAAAGGCCTCTTAAATATTCAAGAGACTGCTTTAGGAAGATTCTTTTCAAAAGAAGGGTCTTTTAGAAAGATGCGTATCAATAGAAGTGACTTACGTACAATCTATGCAATAGAAGTGCCTTGGAAGATGAAATAATAATCTCTTTGGAAAAGCTTTTTAAAAGTAGTATTCTTGGAAGCGCCTTTTCAATATCCTATTCAATAGAATAGTGATCCTTTTCGAGAAGAAGGATTCTTTAGGAAGCCAATTATTGATAGAAGTGGATTACACTTTAGAGAAGCAGAATTTGCTGGTAAAGCTGTATCGTCAGATTGATCTCTTGATAAAGGTCTCAGACAAAGAATCACTTCTTGTCAACTATCTTGTTTCGACATTGGCATTCCTCTTGCAATTAATAGTAACTAGTTCCACTAGCAAGAGCTTAATGTCGAGATCGACATGGATGAAAACTCTTCTTGTCAAGTGCCTGGATCTTAAAGCCGAGCTTATAGGAGAGACATGACAGAATCCTCGATTAACAAGAATAGATTTTAAATGACTCCTCCAGAGCTACAGAACAATGTAATACAGTATAAATTGTATTTCATACGCTTACGTAAGCGTATTGAGAGCAAGAATTTTGATGAGAATGTAAAGTTAATCTCAAATGAAGATCGATCTCTTCAATATCCAAGAAACCCAATAGTTACGTTCAAAAGATTTTTCCACAAATCATACAAATAGGTGTAATGCAGTCTAAATTGAGTAACACTTTACGTAAGCGTATTGAGAGCAAGAATTTCGGCGTAAATCTCGAATGAAAATCCAAAAGAATATTGCTCTTTAGTCAGCAGTATAGGAAAGTTAAGCCCTATCTCCTGCAGAGCCAATAAATTTCCCTGCTTTAAACTACAGAAATTTCTTTTCATATCCTAATTACACATCTAATTAAATTGCACGTTACGTAAGCGTAAGTGAGTGCGGACAAGCATTTCGGGGCAAATGTACCGGTAATCTCAAATGAAGATCCAAAAGAAAGTCCTAGTAGATAAAAATTTATATTAAACTATTTAAAGCTTGATAAAAATGTGAAGTTATAACAAATTTTTCTTAACTAGACACAATTTGTGTCAACCACTGTAATTTTTATTTATATAAAAATGTGTTAAAACATTTTTAAATGGTTTTAACTGTAATATTATAATAACTAACCACCCCCAAAACAAATATTTCGTCATTAATAAAAATAAATGCAATAGTTATTACAGAAAAACAATATATAATTGATTTAATTTAGAAGACGACCTATAAATTTGAAGGCAAACAGACACGCCAGACAGACGGACGGACGGACGGACAGACAAGTTAGCAGACACGAACAAACACATTAACATCGATTTAATTTTTTCTATATTACAGCTCAAAAAAATAACAATAATGTACGAAATAATTTTCTATATAATAATTTACTATACATTTCTTAGATAAGTCAAAAACAAAACAGCAACAAATATGAATTAAAAGCACTATAATAATTTATGTGTAGTCGAAAAACGGTCTGTAGACCAAATCAAATATGAAGAATAAATAAATATTTTTGAACAAAAAAAGCAGAAAAATTCTATAAGTATATTGTAATAAAAACTCTAGAGATAATTTATATATATTTAGAGAGAAAGATAGAGAGAGCGAGAAGAGCAAGAGATAATAAATTAATGAGAACAGTTAAAAAAAAAGAGAAAAACTTAACACACAGCGGGAGAGTAATTCAATGAAAGTGAGAGAAAAAGAGAGAGAGAGTTAAAAACACTTTACACACAGAGAAAATCTCAATAAACTCGTTTTAAGTGTTCGGTTATTTAGATTTTTTTTCGTTTCAAGTTTATCGTGGTGGAAATATTTAGGTACATATATAATAATAACATTATTGTACATATGTTTTGGTGATTTTTTCGATGTTCCGTTGAGTAAATGTACGTTTAAAATTTTTAGTCTTTAGCTGCTATGCCAGCAGCTCTCTACCACAAAAAATCAACGATAAAAAGCTGGGTCTGTGAACGATGATGAACGAATATAAAAACGGCGTGGTCGCCATTTATTTTATTTTCATATTATTATTGTTGTTGTATTTGTGCCATACGTAAAAAAAAATAATAATAAAAAGAAGAAGCAGCAGCAGTACTAGTAGAAACATAAAGAAGAAGAAACGACAACAACAACAACAAAATAGCCGTATAATATAAATAATATACTTGAACATTTTTTTGCTTTTGTACATACATATATTGAAATTCTTTTGTTTTGGTCTCATTCCTCCCCTCCCTACCGGCCTCCTTGTCATTTTCTTGTCGTTGTAGCGCTTTTACTTCAAATCATATACAAAACTGTGCAATATTATGATATAGAAAACGCATTTCGAGGGTTTTATAAGTAATTTTCGCTTTTTTTTTCTAGTTTGAAAAAAAAAAAAGCACAGAGGATGATGATGAATAAGAGGAGAAGAGCTTTAAGGTGTTGACAACGGTGTGAGGAGTGTGTAAGAGAGGTTAAGGCAAAGAAAAATTATAAAAAAAAAGAACTACACATAAAGAGATTTTGTTCAAATAGTCAAATGAAGGTAATGAGTGTTGGTGATAAAAGAGTGGAGCAGCAAGAGCGTTGGGGTGTACAAGAGGGGTTTAAAAATAAACTATATATGTTTCAACGATTGTGTGTGTGTGTTGATGATGATGATTTTTTATTGTGTTTTCTTCCGTTTTTTCTTTTTGTTAATAATTCAATATTTAAAAAAAAAAATATGTGTTGGTAAGCAGTTTTTTTACACACTCATTTATACTATAAACTATGGTGGCATGGATATGGAATTTCATGTAAATAATTTTTTTGCTTTGGAAAGAAAACAACTGTGACTCAACGACAATGAGTATTCTACAGTAAGAAGAAAAAAATATCTTTTCCCAGAAAATCTAACGAAATAAAAACAAACTGCAATATTTTTTTCAAGTGACGTCACTTAAAAAAAAACAAAAACTGCAATTTGTTCACACCCTAACCCTGTTCCCAATATAACACCCTTTCTAGCCTCCCTCATTTAACTTCATAACACAAAGAGTAACTTTATAATTTATAAAATTTTTTTTGGCCCATAGGTTGAATAACCTTATTTAGCAGTTATAATACTATTTATTTTATCTCATTAATTAATCCATAACTTTAAAATTTGTTATTTTAACTTAAACCCCCTCATTATCTTCCATCACTTTCATCTTCTATCACTAGTTTCTTTTTAGCTTGACTTTTTCTCACTCTCTTTTCGTTCAACTTTCCTTTGGTGTAAAATTGTTTGTTTTTGCAATTTTACAATTTGTTTTTTAACAAATTCATCATACTCACCTTAAATTAAAACGTAGTAAATAAACAGAGAAATTTCTTCGTTTACGTATTGTTTACATTTTTATTAACATTTTTCCAAGTATTTTTATTTTATGCAAAAAAAAAAAACACAAAAAAACTTTGATTATTATCTGAGAAATCCCGTAATAACATTGTTATTGTGAAATGCAAAAAAAAGTTGACATTTAGTGTCATTACTTGACTGGTGGCGTCTTGTTTGTGTGTGTGATGTAGTGTGAAAGGGTTACCAGAATGTTTATTTTAGAAAATAATGTGACATTGCCATTTTTTAAACCCGCGGGAATATAATGTTTCAAATACATTTTAATATAGATTAAGTAGCTTTGAGAGACGCTTTTTTATAGAAAGTTATCATAAGAAAATTGTTTCTTAGAAAGAAGTTTCCTACGAAAGCCTTATCCAATAGAATAGTGACACTGAAAGTGGATTACTATACCACTTTTCAATAGAACACTACCATTGAAAGATATTTTTAAAAAAATACTTTTTCGTAAGGTATTTTTAAAAGTTGTATTCTTTGAAGCCGCTTTCCAATATCCTATACAATAGGGACTTAAAAAATGCTCATTCCAATAGAATAATGTACTTTAGGAAGATACTTTTCAGAAGAAGAGTCCTTTAGGAAACCACTAAAAGTGCTTTACAAAAACTCTTTTTAATGGAATATAATTCCTAATAAAATAATCTCTTCAGGAAAGCCTTATTAAGGACTACTTAGTCTTTTTGTAAGCCAGTTTCCCATGGTAGTGTTTTATAAAGACCCTATCGAATAAAACAGTAACTTAGGGAGAACGTTCCAATAGAATACTGTCTTAGGATGATCATAACCTCTTCAAAGGAATAAGTTCCTATAAAGACCCTTTTCAATCGATTTATAGTAAAAAGACCCTACAATCTTAACATTAGACTTCATTCAACAAAATAATGCTTATTATAAGAAGAATAGGCTACTAGCGATGTTGTTTGGATCTTACGAAGACCAGTAAACTTTTCCAATAGGCTATAGACTTAGGAAGGCTATATCAAATATAATAATGTCTTGAAAAGAACTTTTCAATATGAAACCGAATGGAATTACGCACGTTACAATGTTCCTATTTAATAGAACAATGACTTTTGAAGGAAATTTTCCAAAAGAATAATATTTTCTATAGATAAGTCTCACAAGAAGACTCCTTTCAAAATGATAGTCTCTTAGGAAGAGCAAAGTCTTGGAAAGACTTTTTGAAATTAAATATTATCATCAAAGAATCTTTTCCAAAAGACTAGTGTTATAGAAACATTGCTTCCAAAAGAATAATGACTTAGGAGGACTAAATCCAGTAGAATAGTTTCTCCTTGATTACCTTAGATGCTTTCACAAAAGAACAATGTCTTAGAAAGGCTACGATAGGAGTTTATTTATTCCATGTGGTAATAATTAAAAACTTTAAACTCTGGTAACCCTAAAGTTAATAAAAACGTCGATTAAAGTAAATACCGGGGAAAATTTTCTAACAAAAGATAAGAAGCTACACATATTAAATACATACACTGAACTCAGGATTCAAAACAGGTACACTCTTGACATTAACATAGGCCTACTACTAACAAATAAGACATGATCAATTAATAACCGATTGCTCATAAATAACAAGGTCAAGTCGATACTCTTATTTTTAGGAAAAAACACAAGCATTTACAATGTCACTGAAATAAAATAAAACAAAACCAAAAAAAACTACTGAGTCATTAATGAGTAATTACGAAAACTAAACAGAATCTCGAATACAAGTAAAATTAACTGCAAGGAGAAAAAAAGCTATAACAAGAATATCCTTCTGATAAATGCATTTGTAAGTGATTAGCTAATTAATTAATAGGTCTTTTTACACTCTCCAAAAATTTTTAAATTACATCATCCTTGTATTTATTACATCATTAAAAAGCCAGAAAATATACATATATAGTTTTTTTTTCTTTGAAACCACTAACTATAACACACTAAAAAGAACAAATATTTTTGAAAATAAAAAAATGTATATACAGAAAAAAAACCTATGTATTTTGAAATATATAACTGCAGTTTTTCAGAGAATAGAACAGAATAAAACGGAAGAAATGTCATAACGAAGAAAAAAAAAGAAAACATACAAAAAAAAAATCAGCGGAAAATACAAATGCAATGTTGTTAAGTCATTCATACGAGGGGATTTAATTTTGCCATATTTTAACAACAACAACAGAAAATTGAGCACAACTAAATGGGGAAATGAGAACGAATCAACACCGAACATACTTAATATAAATAAAATACAACAATAATAACAAAGGCAAAAGAGATGGAAAATGTGTGCAGCAAAAGTAAAATTTAAAGAAAACAGGGTTGAAAATGTTGGTACAATTGTAATTAGGAAAATGTGTCATAAAATGGCTTATTTTATTACAAACTAAATATAAAACTATAGACTATAACTAGACTATAAACTATAGACTAGACTATAAACTAGACTATAGACTAGACTAGAGACTAGACTATAGACCAGACTAGACTAGACTATAGATGAGACTATAGACTAGACTATAGACTAGAATATAGACTAGACTATAGACTAGACTATAGACTAGACTATAGACTAGACTATAGACTAGACTATAGACTAGACTATAGACTAGACTATAGACTAGACTATAGACTAGACTATAGACTAGACTATAGACTAGACTATAGACTAGACTATAGACTAGACTATAGACTAGACTATAGACTAGACTATAGACTAGACTATAGACTAGACTATAGACTAGAATATAGACTATAGACTAGACTAGACTATAGATGAGACTATAGACTAGACTATAGACTAGAATATAGACTAGACTATAGACTAGACTATAGACCAGACTATAGACTAGACTAGACTATAGACTAGACTATAGACTAGACTATAGACTAGACTAGACTAGACTATAGACTAGACTAGACTAGACTATAGACTAGACTAGACTATAGACTAGACTAGACTAGACTATAGACTAGACTAGACTATAGACTAGACTATAGACTAGACTAGACTATAGACTAGACTACAGACGAGACTATAGACTAGACTATAGACTAGAATATAGACTAGACTATAGACTAAACTATAAACTAGACTATAGACTAGACTATAAACTAAACTATAGACTAGACTATAGACTAGACTATAGACTAGACTATAGAATAGACTATAGACTAGACTATACACTAGACTATAGACTAGACTCTAGACTATATTCTAAACTAGACTCTAGACTAGACTCTAGGCTAGACTCTAGACTCGACTCTAGACTATACTATAGACTAAACAACAAAACAAAAACTACTAAAGTACTGAATTTTCCATGCCTGTGCCAGGGCAAGAAAAAGTACCTAATGCCATAGCTGTAATTATTGTTTGTCATCCATCGCTGGCCCCGAAATTATAGCAATAATCAAGACAGAGAGAGAGAGAGCCAGCAACGAATCACTCACTGAGTAAGCGACAGTAAGCAAATGCGAGTAATAAGTTATATTTTTAAAATAATTAAGCTATTTTTTCTCGAAATTTTCATTTGATTATTTCTAAATTCAAAATTATTTGCTGCTACTGTTGTTGTTCGCCAAGTACATACAAAACATTTGTGTTTAAACAAAAATTATATATTTATTAAGGGATTTTTTTTTCAACAAAATCGGTATATATATATAAAAAGATATAAACTTTACATTAGAGTTAACATATTTGTTTAAAATAGTTTATAAATAATTTAATTAAAACATAAATAAATTATCACCTTTTATGTTATTGTAATCAGTTCAGTTTTTATTTTTTTCTATGAGGACTTGCTGACTTAAGGTTTTAATGACCTCAGAGCATTAGCTGCAGGAGTAGTGTAAGGTATTAAAACCGTCGTGACTTTGGTGAAATAAGATGTTAATAATCCAACGCCTTGGTTTTTTTAAAAATTTTCTTTAAATAAGTTTCTTTTATTTTTTTTAGGGGACTTTTAGTTTGTTTGTTATTTTTTATATATTTTATATGCTGTTGTTGCTAATTTTAAAAATAAACGCAAAACATAACAGTACATTTGATAAATCATTAAATATTTAAGCTAATTTCAGCTTTTTTCAAAAAGAAAAAAAAAAAAGAAGAAAAAACTAAATAAATAATAACACCAACAAGAGAAGAACATAATAATTAACTCTCTCGTAACACTAATTTGCTCGCTCTCTTTTAGCTTCACTTCACTTTTTTAACATGTTTTATTTACTCTCTTTTAAAAGATACCAAAATCTCTTGGTTTATTTTTATATTTGAGCAAATTATAAGTTATTTATTTTTTGCTTGAAAAGCGCTCTCCTTGGTAGCAGGTTTTCGTGTTTGAATTTTTTTTTTCTTTCTTATTAACAATAAAATTGAATCGTTTTGTAGACGAAGTTGGTTTAATCGTGTGGTGTTGTTTTTGTTTTTACCGTTTTAGACGAGAGATATACTCTATTCACTAACGAGCAACGAACAAACGAGCGTTTACTTTGGGTAGACAGTTGAATTTTTGCCTCAGCGGCGTTACGCGACGTTAAAATTTTCGTGCGAAGCTACACTACTTAACACCAGGCAAACAAACTACGCGTTTCGAACAACAGCAGAACACAACACAGAAACAAAAAAACAACCGAACGAATACTTTTCTGCTTCTTCTTTTTCTTTTTCAATATTATTCATCCGTTCGTATCAAATAAAAAAGTACTGTGAATTTTTTTTTTTTTTTCTTTAATTTCCTACTTTCGTTTTAGACAAAAAATTATAAAAAATTACGTTTTTTCTATTAATTAACAAAATAATAGTTAACATTTAAAAGATATCAAAATAATTTGTTCATAAGTAATATAAATTTTAGAAAATATGTAAAAAAAAAATAAAAAATTTAAATTTTTCACTTTAGTATTTAAAACTTTAAATATTTTCTTTAACAAAAAATAATTTTTATTTAATTTTACTTTGCCTCTCTGCGTGTGTGCTGCTCTTTTTCTCTATATATTATTATTAAAAAAGTGTGTGTGTTTTTATTTTTTTGGTTAAAAATTATAAAAAAAGTTAAAAAATAATTCATAAATTTGCATAAAAAACGTGTTTCATTTTTATAAATTTCATTATTACTAAATTCTTTTGTTTAATTGCAATTTATTTTTTCTTTAAAGAAAATATATTTTTTTTGTTCTCATTCCTCTCTTTCTCTCGCTGTTATTTTACTTTTCTCTTTATCTCTCTCTCTATTTTGTCAATGTGTTTAATTATATATATATATAATTTTTTTTTAATTATTTTAAATCAAGAAAAAATAATTTTTTAGCGGAGCGCACTTACGACACACAACTGGCAACGAACGACAACGAACACAACGTCGTCGCAAGTGCTACAGCCATTTTGTACTTTGAATTCACATGAAGAAATTGTACAGCGATTAACTGAATCTAAGGTTTTCAGCAAATCAGCCAAAGCGCAGGGTTGTAACAAAACGTACTGCCGCTGAATTAACTACTAAACGAGTAAATCATACCAAATAGTAATGAAATGGAACAAAAATAATGAAATGTAATTATGCCATCATAAACTACCCTCAAAATTTATTTTTCTAATAAAAAAAAGACACTTAAACAAAAATTTATTACTACTAATAGTAATGCCCTGAAAAAAAACATAAACTTTCAACACTTTTTCAACAAGACCCCACTTTAAACTATATATTTCAAGAAAAAAATATATATTTAATACACCAACTTATAGCAAAAATAATTTAATTCTAATATTTCTCTAACAGGTAATTGATATTTTAATTTTTTAAATAAATATTTTTTTTAATAAAACTTACAAAAACTTTGTTTTATTTGAAGATAAATAATTTCTACCAAAAATACATTTTTTATATAAAAAAGTTCACTGTTTTTACAATGCAAAAAAAACCTACTACTAAATTTATCAACTCGTAAATATTTAGTGTAAGAAAAAAACTCAAACCGCGTGATATTTCAGTTTTCATGAGGTTCATCTATATTTCTGCTTTTGGCTTTTAATGCTTCCATCTCATAGTTGTTGAAACACTAAAATTCCTTGAAAATTTTCATATAGAATTTGTTATTCTTTATACAAACCTTAAGAGAATCCGTATGCGAAGCGACATCTATAGAACATGTTGTCTATAGAGTATGGTTGTCTTTTTCTAATGCATATATTCAGCTATTGAATATTGAAAAGTGGTTTTTATTTGTAATGGTAACTCTGTCTTTTTGATAAATATGTTGTTTGAAGATAATATGGTAGCATTGCTAAATCCGTTACTTTTAAAATATCTGATGACAACTCGCACGGTGCATTACATATAACTGTAATTTCTAAACGGTTAAATTTAAATAAAATTTCGCTTGAGTGTGATGAAAAGCATAGTGAGTGTGATTTCTGACATTAAGATACGCAGATTGTGTACATGATCATCATTGCTAAGTGCTAAGGTTCTCATGATGAAGAGATTGTTGTTTTTTCTATGGTGAGTGTGATATCCCACTTTGAGCGAATTGTTTGTTAGTTCCGTGGTGAGTGTGATTTTCCACACTGAGCAAATTGTTTCATGGTTCTATGGTGAGTTTGTTCTTCCACGTTCAGCGATACTTTATTTGTTTCGGGATGAGCTGTGAATTAACGGACTACAAGGTGAAGTCAACAGACGAGCGTTTTAATGAATTTTAGTGTAAAGAGAATTCTTCTTTCGCGATATAATATGGATCTGCAGTGAGTGTAATTTTCCACATTGAGCAAATTGCTGTTGAAAACGCAGCTTGTGTACATGGTTTTCATCGCCGAATTGTGTTCCCATTATGAACTGATTATTGTCAGTTTTGTGGTGAGTGTGATATCGTACTTGGGGCGAACTAACAACAAGTTGTTAGCCAAGGTGATAGTGGTGAATGTAATTACTTACATTTAGAGAATTTTATTAAAGTTTAATTTTAAACGTTAAGCGTTTTGTTTGTTGGTTCTGTGGTGATGGTGATTTATCACTTTGTTGTATGGTTTCATGATGTGATTTGAATACATATGTAGTGAGTTTAATTCTCTATAATGAGGAGTAACCCTCGGAGATGGTTTTAACTGAATAACGGCCAAAGTATATATAAGTTGGAACAACAGTGTTGTAAGGATAAAGTTCTGTTATTTGACGATGTGGTTGTTATTAATCTCGTAGTAGTCCTTAGTGCAACATATGAGCAACTTTCCCTTTTTTCTAGTTCCTCCACTCAAAAAGAGTATGTTCGATCACTCACCAAACTCACAGTAACATAAGTTAAGGAGTTGTAGTTGATTCAATATATGGTATAGATGTTGATAGATTATAAACATTGAAGTTTTGGCTGTCGCAATTCTAGTGACTCTCTTTTTCGTATTACATTTCGCTCTAAGCAAAATGACGAAAGCTGATCTTTTTGATCCATGTGAATCCAACGAAAGAGCCTATTGACTTAAGTGATTATTTCGTACGGATGTCCTTTAAATGGGCACCTTTTTAACAGTGGTAGTTTTTCAACCACAAGGTGAGTTTAAACAACTCACCACTGCCCCCTTGTGACTTGTAAATACAAGCATGTCTTCCTCGTACAGCTGATTAATATTTTATACAATTCATTTGTTATCTCAAACATTATGTCCCACATTTACTCCTCCAAGTATTCTTATTGTATTGGATCTACCACATCCACTACATTTACCCCGAAGTCTTCTCTGCCAATGGCAGGTACAGGATCATATTATAAGCTTCTCTGATCAGACCCCAAATCCAAGGAATGACTCCGAGTAGTCTTATCCTGTGTATGTTCCGCCAAGACTGGAGGTATATTGTTCTTCAATACAGACCTAAAGAGTGACTGCAGCTGATTGTCTTAATTTGGTCTTGTTTATCCATGACTTCAACGAATGAACTTGGTTACGTACATGGCCTATTGACATAAGTCTAGTTCTAAAGTGGTAGACCTAGCGTTCTACAGTGGTAGTTTTCAACCAAAGGGTGAGCTTAAAACATCTCAACAGTGCCCCTTTGTGACTTGTAAAGAAAGTGCAGGTGGTAATTTTTATACATGGTTATTGTCGCTACATATACAAGCACTTCGCTCTACATACTCCTGATTCATTCTGTATTCATTTGTTATCAACTTATTCCCATTATACAATTCCTATTGTACCGCAACAGGACCAAATTTATTCCCAAATATTATTTTCGCAGTGTATGAGTCTTTGAACAAACATTCTCTAATTGCGATTTAATTTTATATCATATCCATCACATGTTCCCCTACCCCAAAGTTTCCTCAGTCCTAGCCTGTAACTGGATTTTCTTCTCTGGGGAAAAAACTTTCGGTTGATACAGCTGTTGCTGAGTTGACAATCTTTGGTCGATTGAGAGTCGGGTCATTTCGGAGCGGAGATCCAATTGTCGTGGGAACGGTTCACAAAGATAACATTCACTGGTGTGGATGCTTAAGCGGACAATACTAATTCTATAAACTTGGTATAGGTACTTACCATTATTATTTTTGTATGGCAATTTGGTCGTGCCTTCTCTGCTGCTGTCTATTTAAGTTCTTTTCTGTAAGAACTGTTTATTAATTAACACAATTTTCAATGCATTGATTGTGTCAAGGTGAAGATTTCAACTGGTTCTAATAGTATTAAGATTTGTGGTCAAAAAAATATATTCCTAATCAAGGGTACTTTAGAAGCAAAGAACAAATAAATGAGTTTTTGACTTCAACATTTTTAAGTGAAAGATGAGGGAATTGTATTAACTATAAGACCACTAACTGAGGCAGGGCGTTTACAACAATCTTCGCTGCGGGCAGATATATCTAGAGTATACATATACAAGGTATATACATATGAATGTATAACCGACAAATGTTTGGCACATATCCGTACCTCTACTAGCAACCTCTTAAGATTAGCATTTACTCACCTGTTTTCAAAGCACCCACAATTTGCATCTTTCATTTCCAAGGATTCCTAAAATTTGCAATTTTCTGTATATGTATCTCTGGAACGTGTTTGGTCGACAGTCCAAAGGCTTTATGCCAAATTGTTAGCTTGAGTAAAACGAACCGAAAGAATATAACTTCTTTAATTAATATACAAAACAGTTTCAATTAATCACTATTAATCAATGTATTTTAAGTTATTTTGATTCAATAAACTATTAAAACTAGAATTGTTAAAAATTTGCAGCTCTACTTTTCAAAGCCAATTTTCGGTCATATCATTTGTTCTAATTCAATTAATTTTATTATTTATTCATTGTTGCACATTTATTGTTTGTTTTTATCCATTTTTTAATGTATTTATTAACACAATTTTGTTTAAATTTTATTATTTAAAAAAATCTTAATTTACTATCTTTCACCATGACCAATCACAATTTCAAAAAATAAACAAATGAAAACTTCAAATTCAAGGCGAATTCAATAAGCTTGCTGCAGGGCTGTGATGACAATAACAATTTTGTGTAAAGTCGCCTTGGTTTATGTTAAAAATAGAACAGCCTGTCTATATAGATAATTTTTAGTATGTTAATGTTATGTTAACATGTAGACATGATAATTTATCAAGATATATATGAAAAATATTAGTTTAGGTGAAAAACTTTTATGCAAGTAAGGCATTCCCCACCCTGCAATTTTTTCATCCACAATATGGCAACTTTTTCCTTTTATTTTGACAAGAAAAAAATCTTTTGCCGACAATAAAAAAGGATATTTTTGCAATGCATATTGATAAAAGTTTATAAAAGAAAAAATGGTTATAAATATTAAATATATGGTGTATATATTAACAATATTAATTTGTATTATAAAAGTCCAAGCTGAAATAAACAAACAGCCAACAGTATTAGATGAAACTAGCAAAAAATCTGCAGAGACAACAACAGTTCCAACAACACCAGCACCAGCAAAGTCCATTAACAATAATGAAGAATATCATGAGGAATTAGTAGTGCAACCCTTAGCCTCGGGTTTTATAAATACCTATTTTCAATTTACCACCAGATGGTACTATGGCAAGCGGGAAAATTGTAAGTATTTTGGAATAAACAATAATATAATTGCCTTATAATATAATGTATGAATAATATATTGCAGTACACAATACTAGATTGATACCCAGATCTATAGCGGAAATCCTTTTGCATTCGGATGTTAAAGAATTGCACATTTCCTTAACACAGGGCTTGTGGCGTTACGAATCTTGGGGTTATCCTATTGTAGATAATGCTCCCGGTGCAGAAGCTTGGGCTTGGTTTGCGGGAGAAAATCTTACCGCCAACTCTGTCGACGAGCAATGGAAAAGTGTTACCAGTACTTTTTCGGGTATTTTATGTGCCTCTTTAAATTTTATGGATAAAACCAATACCATTACACCCAACTATGGGTTTCAGCCACATTTTGTGGGCCCCGTGGCGAAGAATGTTAAAAGACATGTTAGATATTCCAGTTTGCCGCGTGAAATTGTTTGTACGGAAAATCTAACACCCTGGAAGAAACTAATGCCCTGTAATAGTAAACATGGTTTTGCCTCTTTATTGAATTCGGGTAATGTACACAATACCAATTACCATTCGCTGGCCATTAAAGTACGTACTTTATGTAATGCTAAGGAAGAATGCATTTTGGAATTCATAGAATCGGCCAATTTGGTATATGATCCCAAGTTGTTGGGTGCTGCTAATGAATATGATTTCTCCTTAAGGCGCATGTTTGGTCAGGGCTTAAATGGTTATTGTGCTCTAGCTGATTCTAGTAAAATCTATGTTAATCTACAAACACCTTTACCCTATGAAATGACCCCCTTGCCGCACTATAATACCACCACCACCAGAGGAGGTTACACCTCACAATTTGGTGTCTACGATATGCAAACGTCAAAAGAATCAAGGCTCTTTAATATAGCTTGGGTTTTACGTAAACCTCAAAATGCAGTACTAACACCCTCTCCGCCACCTCTTCTAACACACCGTTATATTGTCGGCTATGGCCAGGAAAGGGGTAAAGTTATAACCCATCTTACGAATACACACTACAATGTGTTGCCTATTATACTGCAAGAAAACATACCCTGGTATATGCCCATTTATATGCATACTTTAAAGATACGTGATCGCCTTACGGGTGAGCTAATAACGCCTAAAATTATAAATTATCGTCCGGGTGTACAACGTGAAAGACCCTATTACCTGGAATTGGCCTTTAAATTACCCGGAAAAACTTCTGTGGAAATATCTTTTGATTTTGACTATATATTCCTTAAATGGCTAGAATATCCCCCCGATGCTAATCATGGCCATTATGTGGGTTCAGCTGTTATAACTACCCAATTGCCTATAGCGCGTAATTATTCTTCTATACCTTTGTCCGGTTATCGTTTTGCTGATTCCTTTAATGCCTCACGAAACTCATACATTTTAACCCTGCGCACTGAAACCTTAATACTTTCACTGCCCACCCCTGATTTTAGTATGCCCTACAATGTTATTTGTCTAGCTTGCACAGTGGTCGCTTTAGCCTTTGGTCCCATACATAGTGTGGCCACTAAACGTATTGTCGTGGAACAGCAGGATACCGAGGGTAGCCAGTCGTTTGTGGGTAAGTTTTTAAAGAAATTACGTAAGTCCAAAAGCAAACCGAACGTTAGCAATTCGTCAAGCAAGGATGCTGCAGAGGATGAAAATGTCACAGGAGAAGAGCAGATAAAATAGGAACTGTTTCGTCTACCATATGAATGTTTGCTGCTGCTTTACTAGTCTAGTATTAAATTATTGAAAATAAAATAAAAACACGATTCCATCTATTTGTATTTAGTTGTTCTTAATATTATTTCGTTTTGTTACAATAAAAACATGATATTTTTTAAAAAATAACAATTTTAAGAGATGAGTACTTTTTGTGGAACCAAGAGAAATTTCCATATTTGGCGATTAAACTGAGATTAAAGTGAAAATTCGATTTTAAAGAAGAGTTGGTTTCATAAACAGCTCTATTTATATTACTTATACTTTTTTCAGAATTTGCGGTAATTTGATAAAAATACACAAATGTGGTGGTAAGTCGAAATTAGAAAAGTTTAGCAAATGATAGAAATTATTAAAACTGCATAAAATTATTTTCAAATGCAGCTCTAATGTATGTACGTTTGTACATGCGTCATATAAATTCTACGGAAACATAAAATTACAAAAAACTTGCATTCGACACCGCAACTTGAAGTGAGCATTGCATCATTAGTCATATAAAGAAATAAAATGTTTCGAAACTGTGGAAATAAATTCTTTAAAAATGTCATTAAATTCAATCTATTGACCACAACACAACAACGTTATGCAGCAAAATGGTATCCGGATGCCGAATTTATGCAACAATTTTCAGCTCCAGTTATGTATCCCGATCAAGTTACCTCTAAATGGCAACTACCACCATGGAATCATCAAATGACACCTACAGAGAAAAAAGTACGTAATCTAACATTGAATTTTGGACCACAACATCCAGCAGCTCATGGTGTTTTGCGTTTGGTATTGGAATTAGATGGTGAAACTGTTATACACTGTGATCCTCATATTGGACTATTGCATCGTGGCACCGAAAAGCTGATTGAGTATAAAACCTATTTACAAGCTTTGCCCTATTTTGATCGTTTGGATTATGTTTCCATGATGTGCAACGAACAGTGTTATTCGTTGGCCGTGGAAAAATTGCTAAATATTGAGGTGCCAATTCGTGCCAAGTACATACGCACCTTATTTGCCGAAATAACACGTTTACTTAATCACATCATGGCTATTGGTTCACATGCTATAGATATTGGTGCCATAACGCCATTCTTTTGGTTGTTTGAGGAACGTGAAAAACTAATGGAATTCTATGAACGGGTATCAGGAGCTCGTATGCATGCTGCTTACATACGTCCCGGTGGTGTTTCTCTCGATATGCCTCTACACTTAATGGATGATATTTATGAGTTTGCTTCCAAATTTGCCGAACGTTTGGATGAGGTAGAAGATGTTTTAACCCATAATCGTATTTGGCTAACACGTACTGTAGACATTGGTGTGGTGTCCGCCGAGGAAGCTTTAAATTATGGCTTTAGTGGTGTCATGCTTAGAGGTTCGGGCATAAAATGGGATCTACGTAAACAGCAGCCCTATGATGCCTATCACCTAATGGAATTCGATGTACCTATAGGATCGAAAGGAGACTGTTACGATCGTTATCTATGTCGCATTGAAGAAATGCGTCAATCTTTGCGTATCATAGAACAATGTCTCAATCAAATGCCTGCCGGTGAGATAAAAACCGATGATTGCAAGATAACTCCTCCCAGGCGTCGTGAAATGAAACAATCCATGGAAGCTTTGATACATCATTTTAAATACTTTACACAAGGTAAGTTATGAAACCATCAATCAAAGTTATGATCTACCTTCTTCAAATCTTTACCCAAGGTTTTTGTGTACCTCCTGGTGCCACGTACACCGCTATTGAGGCTCCTAAAGGAGAATTTGGTGTTTATTTGGTATCGGATGGTTCCAGTCGTCCATATCGTTGTAAAATTAAAGCTCCAGGTTTTGCTCATTTAGCGGCTCTAGATCGTATTGGTAGTCAGCATATGTTGGCCGATATTGTAGCAATTATTGGTACGCTGGACGTGGTATTTGGTGAAATTGATCGTTAAGTATTTTAAATGAAAGAAATAAATTTGAAAAGAAAAATATTTGTATATGAAGTTTTTCTCTTGCAACCAGATTGTCGCTATAGATAGATTGATAGATAGATAGATAGATAGATAGATAGATAGATAGATAGATAGATAGATAGATAGATAGATAGATAGATAGATAGATAGATAGATAGATAGATAGATAGATAGATAGATAGATAGATAGATAGATAGATAGATAAATAGATAGATAGATAGATAGATAGATAGATAGATAGATAGATAGATAGATAGATAGATAGATAGATAGATAAATAGATAGATAAAATAGAACTGAATAAATGCATCGCGTCATGAGGATTTTGATGATAGAAGGGGCAACAGTTGAGGAATCTGAATAAACCGACTCTTGTCATAGTATTGTTCGTAAATGCCCATTTAGTAGTTTCTCACTATCCGATATCGAAGGGTTTTTAAGGACTCTGTTGAATCTATTATTCAGAGACCGCCATTTGATGCTTAGATGTCGCTGCTAAAGTATCGAAAGTCTGGGAAAGA